TAGTTGAAGACTTGAAGGATAAAACTAACTAAAATAAATTATCAATCATCCAATTTTTGTTCATGTTGGCATAAATGATATATGTTCAATTCAGCATCATAAGTCCTAACATTCAGACTGATTGAGGCCATGGAGAATAACACTAAGCTTGAAAAATAGCATCAAAGTGTGCTTCAAATAAAAGAATATTCTGTGGCAAAAGCCACTCTTAATTTTTAACTATAACATAGTCTCTGGTACACGAATAATTCAGATGAACTGAATATCAAACAAAATATGGATGAGAAGAAATCCACAAAAAATGTGGAAACTGGAATGTGTGCACTATCTTCTCATGCCACCTCAGCTGAGAAGCATAGCACATGCATGTATATCACAACATTGAAACACATAGCACGTCCACTGTATCAACAGGTCAAGTCACTACATAGAGAAAGACAATGTTGAAGAACAACATAGACACTAGTTCATTTGTATTTGTAGTAGAAAAAAAAGGATCCAAGCTTCTACCATCGTTCCAGCTTTGGTCGACAAGAAAAGAACAATGTTCTAAAAGCAGATCTATTAGACGTTATACAAGGAACAGGTGCCCACCATGTTACCATGTACTGAATGCTATCCAATCAGTACTGAGCAGTTAGGGTCTAATTTCAGTTACTAATATTTAAAGCATATAAGAAATAATATAATGACTGGATATAGGTATCACTACCCATTTGCTTTTAGGAGTCTGCATCTGGTAGAGATAAATCTACCACGAACTTTAAAATAAATGGAAAACACACATCTAGCACTCATGAGGGGACACACACAATTATCTTACTAGTTATAACAGGATGCTCAGTCGCTCACCTCAGGTACTTCTGTGTCAGGAACTCTCTCTTGAAACTGGACACTAGCTAGGAGCATATGTCGAAGTTTTGAAAGATTATCCAGAAGTTTAGATCTTATATCATCCAGTTGGTGCCGTGTATTTTTGTTCTCCATGTTACTTGGTGCAACATGGAGAGTGTAATCTGGACCAAAGTATTCATAGTACTCGTTGATAGGCATCTTGTCTTCAAGCTCTTGGCCAAGAGCAACTCCCGTCTGCACAAAATATATTTTTTAGGGAAGAAATGGATGAATCAGAAGTGCAAATATATTCCATTCTTGAGAGCACTAGCAATAGTCTGCATCTCACCATAAGTCCGAGGCAGCATAGCATCCCTTCTCATCACAACATTGACAACTACTTCACAATATTCATTCCCAAGAGGCTGGCCTCCTACCATGGTGTTTGGATTAGTTGAAATGACTGTTCCTCTAACCACAGCTAACTCAGATCTCAATAGGAAATAATATCACATCCTTTCCAACCTAAAATAAATGATGTGCCCATAAGAATTTTAAAGCAAGGAACGTATATGAAACCACAAAAGAACGTAGGAAGACAGGAAGATTACAAGGTAGGAGCGCCTGGATCGAGCGGAGGTTGTAGGCGTCGGCGGCGCTACACGTGAGCACGACGAGATGGCCCTCGGGCTTTAGGATCTGCGTGGCCTCGGTGGCGAGGTCGGCCGGGCGCTTGGCGACGTCGAGGGCACGTCCCGCGAAGACGAAGTCCACGGACGACGCGTCGAACGGAAGGCAGTGGTCGTCCCCCGCGACGACGAGCTTCGAATCGAAGGAGATAGGCGGGTACGACGTCGCTGCTCTCTTCCTCATGGGCACGGCCTGCTCTGCGCAGATGGCACAAGATGCGGCTCGTGGGCCACCACGCCCTCGGCCGCGGCCGCGCGCCACCGGTGGGTGGGCGCCGGGGGGGGAAGCCAGACGGCCGGTCCTTGCCGGTGACGGCCTGGTAGGAGACTTCGCTAGCTCCACCGCGCGCCCCTCCTCGGTGTCGCTGGGGAGCCCCAAAGACGACGCCCTAGATGCGGAGGAGCACGAGGGGAGATGAGGTCACCGTCGGTGAGGGGAGGAGAGCTCGACGCCTGTTGGTGAGGGTGAGGGGGAGATCGGGCGAGATTTGGGGCTGGCGGTGGGCGCCATTTGGGAGAGGGAGAGGCGGCGGCGCAAGGGCAGGTTCTGATTTGGGATTTGGTCTAGGGTTTACAGACTCGTGGGCCAGGCCAATATTTGCCCGGAGATGAATGTAAACATGCCATGAGCTGAATATGCGTGCGAGGGTGGGGCCCATTTATTTTTTGGCGATGTACCAGATTGATGATATACCTCATTTTAGCGTCAGACAGTTAAACGTTAAATATGAGTACCTATGGCGATAGACAACAAATCGCTAAATGAGGATTTAGCGTCAGATTGTCTGTGAGTTATCTTTAGCGTCAGATCATCCATCGATAAAAAAAATTTAGCGTCAGATCTCTGACGGTGATATGGTGTTGTGGTGTAGTGCCAGTGGCAGAGGCAGGGGGTGCGCTGAGGGGGGCCAAGGCACCCCCAACATTTCATGGCCCCTATTAATACACCCCCTTAATTAGCTATTTAATGTTCCTATTAGCTAGTTAATAATGTTATTTGTATTCAAAATTTCTTCTCTAATAACATCTTACATAATTAGAATTTGGCTTTTTTTTATTTTTCCATCTCTTTTTCCCTTTTATTTATTATTTTTCTATCAAACATCTAGTTCATCATCCTTACAGTACACTCTCTAATTTGTTTGTTAAATATAATTAGTGTTTTCTTGTTTGCTCTCCCTCTAAACTGAAATCTAATATTCAGTGTTCTTTTTTGCTCAGATGTGGCTAAACCACCGCTTAATGACCTTGGGCAGCCGCTCGGGCTCATCAGCGAAGTGCAAAGGGTTTTTTATCTGTATAAAAGAGAAACACTATAGTTTTTTGGATAAATATTTCTAGCTCCACTACTATATATTTTGGTCGTGTACGTATCTCCTCACACATGATCGTTGATTGTCGGTTTGAATGACGTCTCTATGTCTAAATACTGGCTCCGCCCCTATAACCCCTAATCCCCATTGCTCTACCACCGGCGACCTCGTCGCTGCTTCACCATCTCCCTCCCCTAACATGAATCGGATCAGATGAAGCCGAGGCACATGCGTGTGGAGCGGAGGAAGATAAGGTGTGGGCAGGTATTGGGTCGCTCTGTCCAAATTGTATGTCAGACAGGCGTTCGAGAGTTGGGAGTTGGGACGGGTCGCTGCGGCGTATGCACACTGATTTAAAAGCTTGTGGTCAAAATACCGCCCTTGTAATCTCGTCGTACGTACCCAGCTCGATGAGCTTGGTGCTATCCATCGGCGGCGGTAGAGTGTAGTGCAAGTGGTGGTAGCGTAGTACTAGCTGCCTCGGTTATCCTGGCCCCAAGTCTGTGTTCACATAGTTGGCCGTTACCAGACACCGGCCGAGATTAGTCACTCACTTATGTCGATTACGCGTTCACGCCCGGACAAACATGCATTCGTCGGCCCGTGGCAGAGTCCCCACGACGCCAGCTTGGTCAGTCAGATACAGGCCGCGGCACAACGCAAGAAATTCTGCATATATCTAACCTGGAGTATGCATGCTTGTCGGCAGAAATGACAAGCATCTCTCATTCTCTCTCTATAGCAGTTCGCCATTATCTATAGCTCATGCAACTGATGAGCCCACCATGGTTTATTTCATCTAATTTTCTTTTTCTCAATCACAGTACTCCAATTTGTTGAACCGGGCAGTTAAAGTTTTGTTCGGATCTTGTTGTCAGGCCGGCTAATGAAATTTCACCAATTTTAGGAGATCGATCTTAAAGGCTTTGGATAAATGTCAAATTGTAGGGGGCAGTTAACAATTACTCCCTCAGTTGGTTTTTCTGGATACGTAGATTTAATTAATTAGCACTTAGATATACACTATATCTTGATGTAGGATAAAAACTATGATCTAGAAAAGACAAAAGGACTTATAATTTGGAACGGAGCAACAAACCTTGAAAGCAAGAACGACATTTCTAGGCCACATTTAAATTTTGTTTGCTGAAAGTGAGATTACCTTGTTTATCTTGCGACTTGCATCGTCAATATATATAACTAGAAGCACAGCACGCGCGTTGCTACGGAAATTGCAAGTGAATTTTAGTGGGTGATGTGGCATGTTGATAATGTGGATTACTTGCATTTGTGGATGTTTTACATGTCGAGATAGAATTGTTGTGGGGTTTAGGATTATAAGAGTATCTCCATGAGTTTTTCTTAATCTCACTATCTAAATTATCATTTGGAGAACCATTTGCATAAAAATCGTTTTCTATATCTTTTCACTCGCCAACAGTTTTTCTATATCTCGCAGGCACTCTAGAGAGTCATTTTTGTCTTCTATTTTTTGCTAGCGAAAAATTCGGAATAGAAGATGGCTATATTTGAATAACCATTTAGAGAAGCTGTTAGAAGGTAGTTTTCCAAATTTCTATTTCTAACATTTAGATAGGATATATAGAGTCTTGGAGATGCTCTATGAGATGATCTACCGCATGCGGCATGCCTCGTGATCTTAGTAATCGATGTAGTAACCTGCTGCATGCATGGTGCACACACCGATTGCTAATTTTCCTTTTGTACATTTGGTTTTGGACTCAAATTAAAACTGTTGACTATGTACACTTCATAAGAAGTCCAAGCCGCTGCATGCCGCATTTTTTAATCTACATATCACTATGCGCTGAGAGACCAACACGCTAGGAATCTATGGTCAAATACCTGGGCCGCAGAATACGTAGCATTCTCAATTTGTTGACCTCGCCGACCAGCCGCGTGCGCTCAGTATTTTTTCACACGTAAAGTCAGGCCCATTGAGAAAATAGTTCCATCCATCTGCCTGAAAGTCACGCTGTACCTACCATGTCGTTTTCTTTTCCACGATGATGGACACCAGCTAGCGAGCAAGTGTGTTATTCTGCACTGTTGTTTTGCATGGTCACCAGCACTATAAATACCGATGCTGTTTTCACCACCTACTCATCCCATCCTTCAAGTTCAACACAGTTTTCTACTACCAATGGCTACAACCAAGTTGTCGGCCCTTTGCTTCATTGTCCTCCTTGGCATTGGAGTGGCAAATGCTGCAAGGGTAGCAAGATATGTGAGCGTTGGGGTGGCGGTGGTGGTGGAGGGGAGGTGGCGGTGGTGGGCAAGGCGGTGGGTCTGGATATGGTTCTGGTTTCGATTCACGGTGAAGCTGGTGGATATGGGTCTAATGGTGGGGGGCGATGCTCTGGGGAGGCGGTCAGGGGTGGAGGTGGTGGTGGAGGACAATATGGGGGTTCTGGATCTGGTTATGGTTCAGGTTCTGGGTACGGTCAAGCCGGTGGGTATGGGTCCAATGGTGGGGCATATGCTCAGGGAGGCGGCCAGGGTGGAGGTGGCGGTGGAGGACAATATGGAGGGTCCTGGGTCTGGCTCGGCTCCGGCCTGGGGTATGGTCAGGCTGGTGGATATAGTCCTTATGGAGGAGGCTATGCTCAGGGAGGTGGCCAGGGTGGAGGTGGCGGCGGAGGACAGAATGGAGGGTCAGGGCAAGGTTCTGGTGCTGGCTCTGGGTATGGGCAGGCTGGTGGATATGGTCCTTATGGTGGTGGATATGCTCAAGCCGGTGGCCAAGGTGGTGGGGGTGGAGGAAGTGGTCCAGGTGGCAGTGGATATGGAAGCGGCTCAGGGAGTGGGTCCGGGAGTGCTGGCAGTGGCCACCCATAGAACTTTCTGAAGGGAACTATTTGTGTGATGACACTATGCTGCTACATGGTTACTTAAGCAATAATGAGGAATAAGAAATAAAAATCCTTGTCATGTTTGGTGTAATAAAGTTAGTGGTGCTTCATACGGATTGTGCTACTTTCAATAATGTATATGTATTTGGTTTCTTGTGCGTACTTATATATCAAGTGAGTCTTACATAGAGTATATATCAAGTGAACCTTATTTTTTTTTAGAAAAAAGAATACAAGAAGCATCTAACTTTCAAAGGCGAACGAATGAGTATAGCTATTTATAACAGACGCGTCATACTGAGACTACACTCCATCAAACGGAGTACAAATCACGGAACAAGGAAATGAGACTCAAGTCCCTATCATATTCCTTCTTCGACTCTCACAGTATGAAGATAATTGGAGATGTATACAAACTCTAGAGATATCCTAAAGAGATAATAGAATTAGGACTAGTACGAACTTTTTGCACTCCAAGTCCCTCCCATATATACATATATATTTACCCGCTTAGAATAATGCAATACACAACAGATTATTTGGGGAATAACTGAATAGCTCAATTGGTTAGGTTCCTTGTGGTGGAATACACACCAGAGTTTAAGTTCTCGACTTAACATGGGTACTCCTATTTTCCCTCGTAGCGGTATGGCGACTGCTGTGCGAACACCGACTCATGCTTGTGCTGCGATGGGGTCGACTGCTGTAGGGGCACGGACGGCTGGTCCTGCTTGGAGGAGGGAACCGGGTCGGTGTTGAGCGCCTCGACGAACCAGTGATGCTCCTCCGCCTCGGACTCGAGGAGTACGGGTGGAGGAAGCACCGCAACGTGGAAAGGCTCGTTGACGGTGGAAAGTGTGGGCGCGACCGATGCGGTGGCGGGAGGCGCGGGCGTGAGCGAGGCGATGACCGTGGCCACGGTGGTGGAATACGCCGGCGCGATGGCGATGGAAGGTGCAGGCACGGGTGCGGCCGAGGCGGTGGCGGAAGGTGGAGGCGCTGGTGTGGCCCCGGCGACGGTGGAAGGTGCGATGTGCTTGTCGAATAGCCGATCCAACTGCGCGGTCTGCTCGGCGAAGAGCCTGTGCATCTCGACAAGGAAGAGCTCGGTGGAAGGATTGATGGTGAAGGCCGGGAAGTCGATCCAGATCGCGTGGATTCCCCACAAATCGACTCATGGTCCCGGGGATTTATGGAGAGATCGCTGGCGACAGTGGCTCACTATCGATCAATGATCTCTATCCAACCCAGGGACAGTGGCGAAGCCCTGGCATACCCTGCGTAAGTAGCGAGTATAGTATGTAGATATGTTTATTTGTAATAAAAAAACAAAAAAAAAACGTACATGAGAACGGACGCTCTGCGACTCATTAGCACTAGCAAAGACTTCCAGGCTTGTTCCAGCCCACGCGGTCCACGAGGCCTGTGGGCACATGACATGTCTGGCCCTCAGCAACCGAGAGGCCTCACGCACGCATCGATTCATCAGATGGAGATTTGGAGCAATGCTGCCATGGAGTCTCGCCGCCGCCGTGTGCTATATCGAGAGTTCGAGACTCTCAGCTTGACTAAATTGCAAAGTCTTTTACTCTCTTTTATGCCTATATTCTAAACTGTCAGTATGCTTTGAACTATTTATATTGTAATTTGTGAATTTTTTCAAGTCATTAATCTTTGAATTTAAGATTTAATTATCGTGTTATTTAGTGCACGCATATGAATTTACGTTGCAAATTTAAAGATCGTTACCGAATTATTTTACCGAATTGTATGTGAAAAAATTTGGATGGCATACCCTATGATAAAATCCTAGATCCGCCACTGCCCAGGGAAGGTGCGAGTCAATCGATGGAACACAGAATCGAACGCAAACAGGATCACTGTCTCTTATACCAACTGTTAACAATAGCAGGGTAGCAGGGATCGAAGAGAAGAACTAGAGCAAGGATTAGTAAAGCAGAGCACGGAACTTGGGGATAGTTCAGAGTTTCTATTAGAACGGAGGAAAGTTCCTTACAAGAGAGGGGGAAGTTTAGGATAGGAGTTTGATTATAATATTCATGATTGATTCCTCCCCCCCACTCCCTAGGTACTTATAAGGTAGTAAACGCTCGAGCTGGTGCGTTCGCTCCATACATGGGCCAAGCCCAACCAATGAAGGCACCACTACCCTAGATTTAGACATCATTGTCGGTCTCATCACTACTGGATTTATGACAACCGGTAGTGATGTACCTTCACTGTCGGTTATGAACTTGAAAACGAGAAAATGATTGGGGCTAAGCTAAAACCGGCAGTGAAGGACCACATCACTGCCGATTTGTGGCTTGAACCGGCAGTGTTTTGGCGGCCACTCATCACTGCCAGTTTAAGTCAAGAGCCGACAATAATTTTGATCTATCAGTGTCGGTTCTAGCTAACAACCGACGGTGATAAAGCCTACAGCACAAAAAGGACTTATAATTTTGAAGAATGGCTTGATCTTTTTGCTTTAAGGTTAGTAACAAACATCCACTCCTTTGATTTTATTGCTTAATTATCTTCGTTTTGATGGCTACATTACTTGATTCTCATTCTAGTTCTTTCTCCATTCTAGAGAGCACTTTTCCAATTGGACATTTGTGCAAGGCTCAAATTGTGGTGAATCCATCATCCAAAAGGTTAGTGTCTATGAACATATTTAAATTCCTAGCTAATTATTCTATGGTGGTCAAGATCATCATTGTTAGTTTGTGATGCTATAAATAGTTCTTAGAAGTAGAGTAGAATAGATGTTCTTCATTATTGTGCAATAATTGTTTTTTACTACGATTTTCAATTTACAGGGTTGGGGCTACCAATTTTAATTTTCCAATAGTTAGTGTACAATAATGTTTTTCTGAAATGGTACTTTCGAGCTATAATTGTTGTTCATGAAGCTCAATTTCTTATTAAATCTTTGTAATTACTGTCTTAGTATTTTTTTGTGCAGAGATGGATCGAGAGTGGATGCATCTGTCCCGAACGGACAAGCGGTACATGCATGGCGTCAGCCAGTTTATCACCGATGCCAAAGCCCATGCTAGGAATGGGAACCCTTTCTTCTGCCCATGCAAAGATTGCAAGAATGAAAGGAACTTTCATCAAATTGAGTCTATACGATGCACTTGATTACTAGGGGGTTCATGCCAAACTATACGATATGGACTATGCATGGTAAGGTTGGCGTGAATGTTCTGCAAGAAAACAATGATGATGTGGACATACCTGACATAGCCATCCACGATGCTAACGAGGAACCCGGTGTCAATACGGAACCTATGGCCCCAGTTAATAATGTGTTTAGGAACACGCTAGCTGACGACATCGAGGATAACAATGGCATTTCTCAGGTGCTACGTAATGTAGAGACCAGATGTCTTAGTGAAAGACAACTGAGAAAGCTAGAGAAAATGTGACAAGATGGCAAAACACCATTGTATAAGAATTGTCCATTGAGCAAACTGGATGCCGACATCATGATGTTAGAGTTCAAATCGACAAACGGATTGAGCGATAAAGGCTTCGATCAGTTGTTAGGTATAATAAGGAAAATGCTCCTAGAAAAAAACGAGTTGCCAGAAAAGACATACTTGGCCAAGCAAATGATCTGCCCCATCGGCCTCGAGGTTGAAAAAATCCATGCGTGTTCCAATGATTGCATATTATACCGTGAAGAAAAATACAAAGACTTGGACAAGTGCCCCAAGTGTGAAGCTCCACGGTACAAGGAAGGACCGTCAGATGAGGGTACCAAGACCAGAGGAGGTCCCGTAAAAGTCATTTGGTATTTCCCTATAGCTCCTCGGGTGCATAGGCTGTTTGCATGTGCAAAGTCAGCCAAGCTGTTGCGCTGGCATGGCGAAGAGCGTAAGAAAAATACAATGATGAGGCACCCCGCCGATGGGCATGACTGGAGGACTGTCAATACTATATTCTATAAGGACATCAGTGGAGAGGTAAGGCACCTTTGGTTTTCTTTGAGCACAGATGGGATGAATCCTTTCGACCAGGTTAGAAGCAATCATAGCACCAGGCCAGTGACGCTTTGTATATACAACCTTCCACCTTGGGTCTATATGAAGCGGTCGTACATCCAGATGCCACTACTGATCTAAGGGCCAAGACAACATGGGAATTACATCGATGTGTTTTTGGAACCTGTGATCGATGAACTAGTAGAGATGTTTGAAAAAGGGTGTGCCGGATGTTTAGGACGAGTACAAAAAGGAACATGTCATGATCAAGGGAGTACTTATCGCTACAATCACCGACCTGCCAGGTCGAGGTTCGTTGTCCGGAGAGAAGACAAAAGGCTATACTGGATGTGTCGAGTGCTTGGACGACACTGATGCGGTAAATCTGCCAAATAACTAAAAGATAGTTTATATGGGACACCGTAGGTTTCTACCTAAGGATCACCCTTACTGCAAGAACAGAAAAGATTTCAATGGTACTATTGAGAAACGCTTAGCTCCAAAATATCGAGACGGGCCTACGATACTTCGAGAACTCAACAAACTAGAGGTTGTCCTTGGGAAGGGGGACAATGCAGTAGCAGCGCCTAATGAGAGCATTTGGAAGAAAAAATTGGTTTTCTAGAAACTACCTTACTGACCATTTCTGAGTGTACGCCACTGTCTTGATCCCGTGAACATCACTAAAAACGTGTGCGGTAACACTCTTAACACCTTGATGGACACCGGGGGGACATCGAAGGATTCACTAGCCACATGCCTGGACATGCAACACTTGGGAATCAGGAAGGAGCCGCATCCTGTGGAGCTAGAGAATAGCCAGTTCGAACTTCCAGTTGTGTCATGGACATTGAAGAAGGAAGAAAAGCGTGCGCTTATTTTTTTCTTCAATGAACTCAAAGTCCCGACGGGCTACTGTGCGAACCCAAAGAGGCTAGTGAACACGAGAGAACTCAAGTTCAACTATGGCCCTATGAAGGCCCATGACTGTCATGTCATTA